GGGATTGGGTGCTAGGACCCTCCCCCCCCACCTGTGTATAGGCCCGGAGCCATCTGGGGCACGGATATTGCTGGGATGTCAGAGGGGTTTTGCTCGTGAGGCTTCAGGCAGGCAGCTGCAGCGCTCTGTGAGACTGGTTTGTGGCCTGTTTGGGGAGGTAACCAGTCTGGGGACTGTAAGGAGCCCCGAAGTTGAGCAAACAGGTGTGTTGTGAGCAAGACGCGAGAAGTCATTCTTCCGCTCTACTCTGCGCTGGTTAGGCCTCAGTTGGAGTATTGTGTTCAGTTCTGGGCACCGCATTTCAAGAAAGATGTGGAGAAATTGGAGAGGGTCCAGAGAAGAGCAACGAGAATAATTAAAGGTCTAGAGAACATGACCTATGAGGGAAGACTGAAGGAATTGGGTTTGTTTAGTTTAGGAAAAGAGAAGATTGAGGGGGGTCATGATAGCAGTTTTCACATATCTAGGGGGGACATGATAGCCGTTTTCAGGTATCTAAAAGGGTGTCATAAGGAGGAGGGAGAAAACTTGTTCCTCTTGGCCTCTGAGGATAGAACAAGAAGCAATGGGCTTAAACTGCAGCAAGGGAGGTTTAGGTTGGACATTAGGAAAAAGTTCCTAACTGTCAGGGTAGTCAAACACTGGAATAAATTGCCCAGGGAGGTTGTGGAATCCCCATCTCTGGAGATATTTAAGAGTAGGTTAGATAAACGTCTATCAGAGATGGTCTAGATAGTATTTGGTCCTGCCATGAGGGCAGGGGACTGGACTCGATCTCTGAGGTCCCTTCCAATCCTAGTATTCTGTGATTCTATTTCAGCCCATGACCAACAACGTTGTACTATTAAAATTTCTGGACATGAACCTTGGAGACAGTGGAGGGAGTGAATCCCTCCCTCTGTGCCAGAGAGGGTGACACCACTGAAATTGATTTCTGTAGATTTTGATTAATCAAATGACACCTCTTTTATCTTTCTACCAAGAATTTGCCAATGGAGTTACACATAATTCCAGACTAAACAGCACAAATTCCCTGACTTGGAACATACATTTGACAAAATGTTCAGTATAGAAAGAAAAAGCACAACTGAAGTTTAAGCGAATATGATAATGGTGTATATGCTTCTACTAGCTTGTTTTGATTCTTAGACTTAATAGTTAAAAGCACCTTGTACTATAAAGTTAAATTATAAAAATGTGCTTTTTGAAGCTTATTTTGTCACGTACTTCAAAGAATCCATGCTTATAGTACAGCTACTGATTCAGTTAAAACAAATGTAATAAAATGCCTAATTCTACAAAGTTTTTTTTGTTATCTATAACAGAAAAAAAAAATAATCAGTCGTCTGTCTGATGATATGAGCTCTTCCACAAGCTCCACAGATAAGTCAGATGGAGATTCCAAGGAAGGGTATGTGGTGGTGGTGGTTTTTTTTTTCTTGCATGCAGACATTCAGTACTCACTTGTCTGGTTACTTGATGTGGAAAACTGTGTAAATTGTATCTGTAACGATGATACACAGTGATGTTATGAAGAGCTTCACAAAGAATGAATCCTTTTTGTTTGTTGCTCTTTTGTGATGCACATTTCTTAATCTACTGTGTTTAACTTCTTTCTTTGTGGAAGCTGCTGTGCCTCCAGGTGCTGGTATGAATGCTTTCCAGGAAATGGAACTTCCAGCCTCAAGGAAAGGAGCTAATGTGTCAGGAAGCATTAAACACTATTAATTTGAAATTTACTAACATAGTTTTCCTGATATTATGGGCTCAATTGAAGTATTTATCTAGGATCTTGTTTACTTTGCCATCTTTCTTAATTATCTTCTTTCAAAGTACTACAAGTGGTGGTTAATGCTAGTGTAGATTGGTTGTTGGCGACTGGCTGAGTTGTTAAGTTTTGTTAAGACTTGCTCACTGAAGAGGTTAAATGAAATTCTGCTAAATCCTCCTGTGTCTTGTTTGCATTACTTTTACCACCAAAGGATCTGCATAGTAACAAGAATTTAACACAGACTACATAACAGGGCCTGCTTACATCACAAGATTATAGAAAGTCTTCATTGACTGCAAAATGGAGATTGGGATTGATTTTGTTTTTTCCTGTTCTAGAAAAAGCAATACAAATGAAATGAACGATTTGGTACAACTAATGACTCAGACACTAAAAATGGATTCTAAAGAGAACTGTGAATACCCTTCAATTCTAACTCCTGCATCAGAGTTCAAGCTTCATAGGAAATACAGAGATACTCTGATCCTACATGGAAAAATATCTAATGAACCAGAGAATTTCAAATTTGAAGACTTTCCTTCAGGTCTGTAGCTCTGGTAATGCTTTAAAATAGTGGCTCTTAAACTGTTGTTTATGGACCACCGGTGGTTAGCAGAACACTTTCTGGTGGTCCACAGAAAACTGGCTGCTCATATGGGGCTTGTAGTAGTTGCCACGGGGATTGTATTTGCTTGACAGCTAGAGGGGAGGTGCTCCATCAAATTGTGAATGAAAGAGGTGGTGAACCATGAGGTAATCTATCAATATATGACCCACACTAAGAAGTTTTAAAATAATTGTTTAAAATCATAAAAAAAATGTAGATTTCAATGCCTTGTTACAACTTTAAAACTTCCAAATAGTGTAATTGCTTTGTAGATTAGCTTTAAAGGCTTAATCTTTAAATGGGATTCAATTTAGCATCTACAAATTTGGGTTTTTCTGGAGATTACAGGAATCTACCTGCATAAATCCCATGACAAAATTGGAGCCTTATTTTGCAGCTGCAAAATAGTTCTCTAATTTTGCAACAATAAATGTAGGAAAATCATCTTTTGAAATTTGGTCTTCAAGAGTTATACTGAAAAATTATTCTAAAAAAATGGCATCTTAAGGTTTGTTTTTGACATTGAGTACCTATCTACTGGCATAAAAGACCTGTGGTGTGGCTGTTTGGCCCGGGTCAGTTGACCTGGGCTCACGTTGTAGGGCTACAAATTGCTATGTGGATGTTCTGGCTTAGGCTGGAGCCCCGTTCTGGTATCACCTCCCTTGCAGGGGCCCGGAGCTCAAGGTCAGTTTGTAAGTCAAAAGATGGATTGAAAAAGTCTTTCTGGATCATGTGTTGTAAGTAGCAAGGATTCTAGTTAATTCTCTTTCCATTGACAGACCAGAACAGATCGAGAGAACTTCCATAGTTATGGTGGTTCTGCAAAGATAACAGGAGTAAAATGTAGTGAAAACGTTTGACTCTCTAGTCTGCAGATGTGACTGAATATATGGAAGCAGCTTTTGGTCAGTGAGGAAGTACCTTGTAACATAGTCAATTTTTCTCTCTCTAGCTGCATTTTAATATGTACAGTTGTGGTGTGATCTGCTCAGGTGTGTTACAACTGCTCTTCCAGGTACTGGAAATCTACAACCAATTTGAAGGTGCTGGTGGAAGTGGAATGGCTTAAATTTTCTTAAATTGCAATTGTCTGTGGTTAGACCAAGTCCTTTACTTTCGGATGTTAATACAGAAAGGGGATTTAGGGTACTAATAGGCTATGACATCTTCCAGCCTTAAATTGTTGTCTTAGATCCAGATAGGCTATGACATCTTTCAGCCTTAAATTGTTGTCTTAGATCCAGCCAATGTCAGTAGTGACAGTCATTCATTTTGGATGATTTCAGTGTTCAAAGTAAAGTTTTGGCACTTTGGTTCTAGTACAGAACTTCCCTTCTAATAAAATGACATTCATCAAGATGATTTTTTTTTCAGTTTAAACAGAGAAGTGAAGGATTGAAAGGTCAATGAGGCCCACTAGTGGAAGACAATACTGCTACCCATGCTATTCTGTTATGTATACACAATACTTTTACAATCATTTTCTTTTTCTAATGTAAAGTAACTTAAATGTTTAACCTCTTTGTCAGGGTTCTCTGTATTGTATGGCTATAAAATTTATTGTAGAATCCACCTTTTGCCACACAATTGTTTTACAGAACATCAACTTACATTTGAAAAAAAGTTTACCATTGTGACTACAGGAACCATCCATACGTGATCAGAGTATACACTAATACAGTAAAGTGTGATATGAACATTCATTGTTTAAGTTTTTGTAATACAGTGATGCCTGAAACTGAGCCCTCCAAGACCTGATTCTGCAAACTGAATCTGTATGAACCTTGCACCTGCATAGAGACTCAGTAGTCATCTGCAGATGACTGATCATATGTAATCCTATTTGCTCAGACACCCAGCTAATGTGCCTATTCCACAATCCTAAACCACTTCCCATGCTTTTGCTGGTACCAACTGCTCTTAAATACTTATAGTAAATATAAGGTGTGTCAACTATTTTTGCACTGGCAATATTATTTTTATTACTTTTTTAGATGTTTTATCTGGTCCTGAAAAAATTAGAAGAATGGTTGAAATTCTGAGGTCTGATGTGGTGCAAGGGCTGGGAGTGAAACTTCTAGAGAAAGTTTATGACATCATGGAGGAAGATGATGAATTAGAGAGAGAGGTGAAGGTCTCTCCTACATACTGTAGTAAATTGTATTTGCTTCTCTTCCACACAGGGTTAAATGGGCAGTACAATGTAATTGATTCAGAATAAAAGAAGGGGAGCCACCTTGAATTCTTTGATTTTAGTTTGATGTTGATAGCAATGTTGTATACCAGGTCTGGGCAAAATATGGCCCGTAGGCTGGATCCGGCCCGCCACACAGTAGGGAACTCCAGGCAGGTTCCCCTGCTTTCCCTGCAGACTGCTCAAAAAAGCACCCACAGGGCCGTTTCTCTTTCAAAACTGATCCCGGAAGGGAGGGGGGAAAGCTTCAGGTGCTGGCCCTGCCCACAGCACAATCCCATTGGCCGGTTTCTGGCCAGAAACTGGCAAATGGGAACTGCTTGTTTCAATAACGGGCAGCACACAAAGCACCACATCCCCCTCCCCTGCGGCTCAGTTATTCACACAAGCACATGTCCTTGCAAGTGTGGAGCAGGCAGGCAGTCTGAGAAATGTTTTAAGGTCTGCAGGTAGGCAGGCTGGTTGGGCTGCTGGCTAGTAAGTCTCCTGGCTAGAGCCTGGCTCTGGCACCCCAGCCCCTCCCTTCCTCTCCAACCTTCTGCCTCCCCAACTCAAGATACCCAAACCTTCTCCCCTCTCCTGCACCCATACCTCTTCCCAGATCTGGCAGCCCAATCCCCTGCCCCAGATCACAAACCAAATCCCTGCCCCCCAGCCCCCTAGGTCACAATTGCCTCCTTCACCCAAACTCCCTTCCAGACCCCTTCTTCCTCCTGCACCCCAGTCCCTTACCCCAAGCTCCCATCTGTACCTAACCTCCATCCCAGACCCTGCACCTCCTCCATTAATATCATGAAAGAGCCAAAAACTTGCGAGGCCCCCTTCCTCTCCCCCCCCAATCAAAAATTATTGCCCACCCCTGTTGTATACTCTTCCAATTTGGAAAAGGTACAAGAGATGACTACTTTGACATTAATCTGTTAGCATATCTTCATTATGCATTCAACTTTGGCCAAATTCTGTCTTCGCTGGAAACAGCGCATGTATACTTGAACATGTATCCAAAGGCAGAAACTGGTCCTTCATCTTCCTAATTAATGTAGATTAAGTCTTGGGAAATCTTTAGCTGTTTCCATGGAAACCTTGGCTACAGTTTATTATGCAACAAGTTTAATAAATATTCAATTTATGTTCTAAATTTCATATCTTTTCAATTGTGGAATTTCTTTCAACCTGTAGTACTTTAGAATATGCTTTTTATTTGAGTTAACATTATGGATTGTGTTTAAATGTTATCTCCCCCTTTTGATTAGTCAAACTGTCTGTGTGACGTTTTTATTCAAGGTTGCTTTGGTAGCCTCATTGTAAGACTCTCAGGTAGCAGCATTCATATTTCCAATTTAAAAAACAGCTTACTTTTTCTTTTATGCTTACTAGTTGCACTTACGGGAGCATATGGGAGAGAGCTACACAAATTACAGTGCAAAAGCTCGCCATCTGAAGTTTCTTGAAGAACATGTGAAGTTTTGACCAGGTGACTTTACTGAACCTTTTTTCCCTTAGAGCTGTTACAGAAAAATAACAAGGACCTAGTTTTAGAGGTGGTTTGGTGTATTGGCCATATGCCATATTCTGTATAAACAAATTTTATGGTACTTGTATTTACCCATGGATTTCTAGGTTATGAGGTAAACTGGTCTTGACAGAGGATTTCTGGGTTATGAGGTAAACTGGTCTTGACAGAGTGAAATGCTTATTTGCTTGTGCAGAGTAGCACAGCTTTGTTATAGCATTAGTACTAGTAATATTTTTATATTAAAATGTGAAACAGACATTACTTTATCTGAAGAAGAGATTTTATATTTTGGATTTTTACTTGACATTACTTGCCTTTTGATCTCAGACATACTTGGAGTGTTTTATGGGTATGGATTAGTTTCTAGAAAGTACTAAATTGTGTATGTAAATTGATATAACCAGATAATTTAGATCTAATTTTCTTTATCAGTAAAAGGTTGCAGTCATATCACATTTCTTACTAAGCCAGCTGATTTGGTAAGGCTATAATGTGGGATCATTAGAATTATAATTTACTGAAGTTAAGATCTGAAGCTCAATTTTGGCATGAGCTAATTGTAATTTCTGTAGCTGCAAAAACTCAGTGCAGTTTCTTCAAATGGCTTAAAGTTCAAATAAGATATAGTAAAAAGATGAATAAACTTCCTACCCTGAGTCCTTGGGCACCTTTAGAGCTCATTTTCAAGGTTTAGGTAAGAATGTTATTTTCTCCAACTCAAACACATTCAAATACGAATTCCTTTTAAGACTGGAATGAGGATTAAAAAGACTAGGTACATTCAGATTAAATGGTACATTAAATTAGTGTATTTATCTGTCAACTTGTCTAAGTTTTTAGTATGCTTTTGTTATATTTTAACATTTGATGCCTGGACGTGTTTTGCAGCATCAGTGTTCTGAAGGTTTTTACATATTAGATTTTTTAAAAAAGCATAATTGTCATCAAGGATATTTGAATTTTGTAAAATAAAAAAAATAAAGTCTGCAAGATGTCAAGTTTCCTTAATATTCGTAGTAAATATTCCACCCTATAGAATAGCTCGTGGAAAAATGCTGCAGCATAATTGTGCCCATTATCAGCACAAACTGCAGTAGAAAAGTGATCTCATAAAATGGTAAGAGGCTTAACTCTGTTCTCCACATCTACTGTAGCTTCTGCATCTCCATCAGTTTCCCTATTCTGGGCATGTCTGGTTTATAATTGACACTCAAGCTAAGAGGAGCAAAGTCACTTTTAATAAGCAAAGATTGGAGTGTTGGTACAGAAGATGATTTGAACATCAAGGGTGCACTCTAAATATCACAGAATATTTTGCAAGAGAAGAGGCAGCACACGGACAAATTCCAACTTGGATAGTTATATTTTGACCAGCTTCTGTTGTGTGTTGGTATTAATTTCCTTTCCTAAGCTATTCTGTAGTGTAGCCATTTGACTCTGCACTATTACACAATCATTGCATTTGACCAGAAAGTACAATAGGGTCTACACTCTAGAACTGTACACTGACTGTAGTCACTCATGGTTGATTTTTTTCTAAGTGATGCATCCACACTACCAAGCCTGTTGTGTCACCCTTACGGGCAGCTGAAATAGATTTCAGTACTCCTGCTTTTTACTTGGAATAACGCTCTTCTCAACTTTGCATGGTCTTTGGGAGGCCGCCTGCAGCTGTCTGCTCTGGCCAAGCACTTTCACCTCTACTGCTCTCCCCCTGAGCTCAAAAAGCCCTGAAAACAGTAGAATGGACTGTCCCATGTGGCCAGTGTTGTGAGCCCATTGTGAATGAGCAGCACACGCAGACATGAGTTCCTCCAGCATCCCAACTGAGCCTGAGTACTTCTGCTTGCATGGGCTCCAGTTCCCAGGAGCACAGAACACCAGATTGGAGTGTCCAGGAGATCTTGGACCTCATTGAGCTGGAGGGAGATAAAGCCATCTTCCCTGAGCTCAGAACCAACAAGAGGAACACTGAGACTTCCAGTAAGATCACAAGCTGCCTGAGGGTGAAAGGATATTCCAGGGATGCCCAGCAGTACAAGGTAAAAATCAAGAAGCTGTGGCAGTGCTATCATAAGGCAAAGAATTAGAATGGATGCTCTGGGGCAGCACCTCACGTGTGCCACTTCCATGAGCAGCTGGATACCATTCCTGGAGGGAGGACAGTGGCCAGCTCCCCCAGTGTGGTTGTGGAATACAGCTAAAACAAATCTGGTGTCAGCCAAGAGGAGAGCGGGGTGGCAGAGGAGCAGGAGGAGATTAGCCAGCCGCTGATGCCAGAGAGCCAGGAGCTTGTCATGATGGTGGAGCTGATCATCTCCTCCCAGACACTCCCTGTGAGGGCACTTGCAGTGAGTTCACAAGCTTTTTCGAACTACAAGCAGGTTAAGGCAATGGGGCATGAGGTGTGGCGCGGTCTCTCTGCTTACACAGTGCGGGGAGCGCAGAACAGCTTGTTAACGTGTTTACAGATGGAGCCGGAGTGTTGTCTGCATAGCTCCATAAAGCTCTTTGAGCCTTCTCACAAGGTTCTTGGGGAGGCTAGCCTTATTCCATGCCAAGCCACCGGTAAGTGGTCTGGCATCACTGAATCACAAAGCATTGCAGCATAAGGCCTAGGTTTATGGCCACATTCAGTCAGCATATGCTTCCCATCACTCGTGATTCTGAGATGATGGATATCTAGCATGGCAACCTGGAGGAAGGGAACCTATTTAGCACTTTTCTAGGGAAGCCATGTGTGCTGCACACATCCTCCACTCTGCTCCTCTTCCTCTCCCCCCCCCTTTTGCTCGCAGGCAGAATAGGAGCCAGTATCCCTGGGAGGCTGTGTGTGCTGGACACAATAGGGAGCTGTCCTCTGCCTCTGCCCCCTCCAGGCTCCTTACCATGCCTGCCTCTGGACTGAGTGCAACCTGATGCTCCCGAGAAGTCTGGGTGCCTGCTGTAAAGCAAACTTTTGGCCTTGCACGGAACACTGTGCTTACAAAGACCTTCCATGTACACTAACAGATTAGGTTTAGGCATCACGCAATGTCTGCCTTACTAACTCTTCTTTGCAGCTGGGCCAGCAGCCAGCAAAATGTGTCCTCCCACTCCTACACCATCTGCCCGCCTGGCACAGATCAGCGGACAAGAGAAGAGATGTTCCACAAACGGACTGCATGAATATCCTTGTGCAGGAGATCTGGGCTAAGCGCCAAGGCCAGATTGTGGAGCGCCAGGAGAGGAGAGCTGCCAGGCAGCATGAAACTGCCTCCCTGACCACTGTCATGGAGCACATGGTGATTTTTCTAGGAAGGTGGCGTGCTCTAAACCCCACTTGGCCTGATAACACCCTCAGTTCCTCCTCCTCCCACCCCTGTCTCCCCAGGGTCCTTAGGACCTGGGGGGGGATGATTCAAGGGCAGCTGTACCCTCCAGAGCCTTAGGAGGCAGAATGTGGTCCCACCAATGTTACTGAGCCCCCTTCCCCCTTTTCTGGTTCCCAGTTTGTTCCTTTCCCTGTTGCTTTTTCCTAACTAAGAATTCCTATTCTTTGAACAGCTGTCTCTCTTTATTGCTTGAACTTGCAGGCATGGGGTGGAGGATTAAAGGTAAACAGAGAATGCAGGAAAACCATAGGGAAGAGTCTGAAAACTGGCCATGCATGAAACTATCTTCAAAGTGTCTGATTAGTGCTGCCCTTTGCTGCTTTTATGGTGCTGGTGTCCAGCAGCTCAAACTCTCTGGCTAAGTGATCTACCTCAGCCCCCGGCCCTGCCAGAAAATTTTCCCCTGGTTCTGGATCACACAACAAGCTGACAGCATGAAGAGAATGTTGCATTTGCTGAGGTTCAAGTGGGGCAGGAGATTCCTAAACGTACGCTTTAAACTTTCAAATGTGCATTCCACCACCATTTTGTATCTGCTCGGCCTATTGTCAAACTCCACGCTGCCCATATATAGCTTCATGAGCAATGGGCATTTCTACCTCTCCAATTCAGATTGTCCAGTTGTGGAGAAAAGTTCCAAAGTGCATTTTTTGGAAGAGGCAAGAGTGCCTAAAGCCATGTGTCTCCTGCACCTTTCCCAGCCATCCCATGTTGATCTTGGTGAAATGGCCCACAAGTTCCTGAACCACCATGGAGAAGTACCCCAAGACCTGGTGGTTGAGGGCCAAGATAGGGATGTGTGTTCAGTCTGTGGCCTCGCCATAATTAGAGAAGCCCATCACGGCAAAACCATCCACTCGGTACATCTAAACTACATCCCTTTTTCGATAAAGGGATGTAAATTAGATGTATTGAAATTGTAAATGAAGCCTGGATTTTCATTTCCCACACTTCATTTACATAATGGTGGCCACGGCTTTTTTCCGCAAAGCTTTTTTTAAACAACTGGCAGTTTAGATGGGGTATTTTCAACAGAAATGCCCCATTTCAAAAGATCCTGGATCTTTCAAAATGGACCATTTCTGTCGAAGATCTCTGTCTTGACTGGGTTTTTTTCCCCCAAAAAAAGCAGCTTTGTAGAGAAAAGCTGCGGCTGCCATTATGTAAATGAAGCACAGGAAATTCAAATCCCAGCTTCATTTACAATTTCAATACATCTTAACTACATCCCTTTTTCGATAAAGGGATGTAAATTAGATGTACCCTATGGTATCCACATTTCCCAGTCACAACCCTCTGTAGCAGAAAGTTATTGGTGGCTTTGACTACTTGTATGACAACAGCCCCACTGTAGACTTCCCGACTGACTGGTAGCTGTCTGGCATGATAAGCTTCCATAGGGCAATTGCCACATGCTTTTCCAAGGTCAGAGCGGGTCTCATTCAGGTATTCTGGCACCTGAAGGCACGGGAAAGCCATTGGCACCGTTCCAGGAACATGGCCATGCACATTCAGAAGTTCTGCAGCCACTGCTGATTGTCCCATCCCTGCATCACAATGTGGTGGGTACGTTAGCATGAGCGCCAGGCCTTGCCTGAGCAGGGCCTCCATGCCACACTGAGCTTTGCACTCCTCCTCTTCCTGGCGGAGCGCCAAGGGTACACTCTAAATACAGCGTGAAGAGGCATGCCACAACAGACGGGAGTATGACATTACTTTCACGGAAACCGGGCTCCATGCTCATGATGCTGTGGCATCCATGTGGGCAACCAGGGCATTAAAAGGCACGAGCATAATGCATCCCCTTTATCTCATGGACGGTGGAGGAGAAGGGTCTAGTTGAGTACCTTACGGAATGCAGCCATATGAGCCCCTCTAATCCCTCGCTGCCCAGTTTTGGATCCAGTGAGCACCAGAAGCATAACCCAGATTGCAAAGCAACCCACGCGGTGCCTCGCTTTGAGTTGATGGTAGGCTCCCTTAATGAGGATGCACTACTTTAGAGTACATTTGATTCTTTCCCACAGTGAGGACACGGACCTTTAATTTCTCAAATTCAGGTGTCCAGAAATCGACCATGTTAGAGTCTACCTTATCTCATAGGGTCTGTCTAGACTACATGCTTCTGGTGACAGAAGCATGTAGATTAGGCTACCCGGCATAGGAAAAACTTAAATTTAAATGGCTGCTACGCTGTGCCGATCAGCTGTTTGGTTGGCTCAGCGAGGTAGTCTGGACGCTCCGTGGTCGACATTAAAGGCATTTGTCGACCGCCCCAGTAAACCTCATCCCACAAGGAATAACCAGGCAAACAGCTGATCGGCACAGCGTAGCAGCCATTTAAATTTAAGTTTTTCCTATGCCGGGTAGTCTAGACACACCCATAGTGTAGATGTCTACATGTGCCCACAGTGAGGTTTTTTTCAAGCTAAAGGAATTTAATTGCTTTTAAAGCAACCCTGCAAAGTTGTGTTTTCATCAACAGAAAAAAAATTAGTTGCATTTTTGACTCCTAACTATTTAAATTGCTTGAATTCATGGAAAAAACTTCATCTTCACGATTTTAAATTTTCTCCTTCCAACTAGTCCTATTCACAACTACGTTAGCTTTTCTGCAACTGAAATATTCTTAAGTAAATATTCTTAAGTAAAAACTTCCTATAGGCCTAGTTCACATTCACTCATTCTTGCTACAGTAGACACTACATGTAGGCCTATTTTACTTGTGAACGAACACATTACACGCTCATCCAAACTGCATTAAAAAGGACTGATTCTCCATAAAAAGGCATTTCACTCACAAGTACCAGAAGGACTTAATTCCCCTTACCTTCCCCAGTTTTACACAGAATTCAGTGACAAGTTTTGATTCCTATGTAATATGTATACTTAAATTTTCATCCTAACATACTTGAAAATGTAATATAAAAATAACTGATTTAGTTGTGTATTTTACTTGAAAATGTAATACACAACTAAATCAGTTATTTTTATATTATCTGCCTAACCATAGCATAATCTCAAAGGCATTGAGAAATTAAGGTCTCACACACTGGGAATGTCTCAAACATTTAATGAACCAAAATTTTCCAGTATTACACCATGAGAGTTCATGTTCAACTTTTAGTATGCCTTTTCACTTTCCTCTCTGCAGGCTTCTTATCTTCTGTTCCTGACTCCTGCACAGGTAGCCATTTCAGAGGATTGCGGCGGTACATAGGCCATGGAGGGAGTGTTAGCTTAAAAGGAAGTAAAAGTTTAATTATAATAAACTACAACTCAATCTAGTGTGCAATTACAATGTTATTACTACAAAACCTTCATCATGTGGACTTGCAGTATCTTATTTATTATCAAATCACTTAAGATGACAGACATCTGATTGAGCATTTAATGGTTTAGATCACTAATAGAAATCTACTATATATTTTAGAGTTTATCGGTTTGATCAAGAACTCCTAAACAGTACGAGCTGGAACTACCAAATTCAGTATACAGCTTCCTCTTATAATTTAAAGCAATGTCAGGGTTTGGTTGTGCCACAAAAACAGGATATGCCTAGAATGGGATTGTGTCTCATAAAACCAAACAGAAAGGAGACAATCACCAGATCAAGTGCAGTTCTCAAAATTGACATAACTGCGTGAATGTTGAAATAGACTGAACGATGGTGGGGCAGGAACATATGATGAACCTTAGAGTAGGATTGCTTCTCAAACCTTACAGGAAAGAGAAAATGAAGAAAATTTGAGTAGCGCTGTTTTTTCAAGATAAGGTGGGGCAGGAACATATGATATTGCTTCTCAAACCTTACAGGAAAGAGAAAATGAAGAAAATTTGAGTAGCGCTGTTTTTTCAAGATAAATTAATGGATAAGGTTTGAAAACTAGAAGAAAATGTTATTGGAAACTAGGGCTATGTTAGTGTATTCATTTAAACAGTTATATGCCCGATACAGAGGCATGGATCGGGGGAGCAGGAGACGAGAGACAGTGCTCACAGGATGTGGCTTTTAAGCAGGCTCCCCACAAGTACTGGCTTCCGGAGAGCTGCCTGCCCCTTCCCCGATGCTATTACACATTTAAAAATGCTTTAACATCCCAATTTGGAAACCAAATTGAGTATAGTAGTGGTGGTGGTGGTGGTTTTTTTAACATATAGTGAAGAAGAGTTTATAGGGATAAAGAAAAAAGTAACCTGATGGAATTTTTAGTACAAAAAAGTACTAAAAATTAAACAATCCCGTTTAAGAAATCCAAAATAAAAGTTAACTTAATACAATTTTTTGAAAAATACAATCATTTAAATAGTGTGTACATTTTCCTTTTATTTTTTTAAAGAAACCTTACTTGATTTAAGTACCCCAGTAACTCTGCTAGTTTTCTATATTGGCATTTGTTTTTTTTATATCAGGCCCAGAAGAAACAAGGTACATTGGAAGAGATAACTGAAGTACAGAACTAGAAGAACAGAGGTCAGAATGAGTTTGTTCATGCATAATGTAAAGCTCGTATTGCATGTTTGTATTATGCTCATCTAGTTGATGCTAGTAGACCCGTACTTTAAGAACTTTTGTTCATGTAAAAAGAGTTTGAGGAACATCAGAATTAGTTTTGAAAACTCCATTAGTATATTCAGTAATAATATTTTGTCTTACCAGGCACGATAAAGCAAACCCAGCCATAACTATATAGACAGTCCAGCCAAACTGTTCAGCAATGTAGCCATAGATAAAACCAATTACCTAGAAAATGCAATACCAATTTTAATAACTTAACCAGCCTTTCCCAGACCACAGGTATTGAGTTAATATTGAAAAATATCCCATAGATAAGGAAAATTACCTAAGTTACAAAACACTAAATGTTAGCAAATTGAATTGTAGTAAATTTCCCAAACACAATTCTTAATCTTGGTGTGATACAGATCTCAAACTATAGATACTCATTGGGTATTAGCTGGACTTAGTTATATATATGAATAGTCTTTATGTGAAATAAGACTGACTTCATATTACAGTAAAATTAGATGCTCAGTTTGGTAAAGTCTGAAGTATAATTTTTGTGGAGCTATTTTTAATGAGTAAGCATAAGCAGAACAGGACTTGAGTAAATAGTTTACTTAAATATAGAGACTAAGGAACTGTTTTTATGGTGAATTAGTGTCTAATCAGGATAGAGGTATATTTTAATAAGCTTAAAGTGAGAATGCAGATAATGGCATTGTTTAATGAAAATTAAGTGGTGCAGGTTTGAGCCTGCAGTTTGTAGTGAGCTCTAAGATGGCCTGTCCAATATGTACTGCTTTTGCTTTTGATAATGAAGCTCAATAACCTTTATTAGAAGGAAGGATGTTAAATGTTTCTGGATGGAGTGTGTGAAAAGTCTTAATTCTGACATCTCTTCACTTGAGTGCTTGACCTTGCCACCTTAACATGTTCTCAATTTTTTTAGCATAATTTAGTGAAGGGATTATACTGAAAAACTTTAATTATGCAAGTACTTTATTAACTTTTCAATAGCATTTTATGAAACATCTTAAACATGCTACAAATTCTATGAAAAGTAAGGCGGGCGGGTTAAGTTACTTACCCAAGGCCACACACAACTTTAGAATCAGAGCTACAATTAGACTGAGTTATTGGTTTCTTGATCTGTGCTTAGTCCACTGAACTATGCTGTCTTCAGGATTAAGGAATTCAATACTGAATTACACTGGAATCCAAAATTTATAACTGATCCTCTAAGCTCACTATTTAATTGTACATTGACTATCAACAAAGCATTTTTTTTAAAGCCACTTGTTTAAAATCTCAGAGATATTTAATTGTACATTGTCTATCAACAAAGCATTTTTTTAAAGCCACTTGTTTAAAATCTCAGAGAGAGTCTGGCTGATTTACTTCAAGCTTTAAAAATCCAAGCAGTTGCCAGACCCTAATCAGTTTATTTTTAGAGGATGTCTTAAACAGTCTTAACCATGGCTCTGAGACTTACCGCAGAAACAAGAATGATTCCTTGAAAAATCTGTTCTGCAAGTTTTTGACCCTTGTAGTCCTGTTTAAAAAAAAAAAATCAAGGTTATAATAATCCAACCCACCTGTACCCAGTAAATGATTCTTGCAACCTCTGTCAAGTAGTACAAAGACAGAGCTTGTGTATATACCTGCCCAGTTTCATATTCCACATTTCACTACAAATGTGTAAGATTAGAATATTTTCTTGTGTATTTTTTAAATCTTGTTTTTACTGTAAAACAAAATCTTAATCCCCAGCCTCATCTCCTATGGCTCTGATACTAAAAAAAGGGCAAAACTGCACTCTTTGGGTTGCCATTAAGAATTAGTAGCATCTGTACACAAGCCCAAAATCACATCACATTTAGATACAAGATAGCTAAGTCCAAAGCAGAGTGTCAAAAGGATCTCACAATACAGTAAATAAATTTTAATGTTGATAAATGGAAAGTAATACATAGTGGAAAACATAATCCCAACTATACATACAAAATGATGGGGACTGAATTAGCTATAAGCACTGGAGATCTTGGGAGTCATTGGGGAGAGTTCTCTGAAAACATCTGCTCGATGTGCAGCAGCAGTTTTTTAAAAAAAAAAGCAAATGTTAGAAATTGTTTTACAAAGGGATAGAGAATAAGAATATCTTATTGCCTCTTTATGAATCCATGGTACATCCACATCTTGTATACTGCATGCAGATGTGGTCACCTCATCTCAAAAAAGGTATCTCAGCACTGGAAAATTCAGAAAAGGGCAACAAAAATTATTAGGGGTTTTGAAAGGCTCCCATTTCAGCAGCAATTAAAATGAATGGGAGTTTTCAGGCTAGAAAAGAGACTAAGTGGGGAGATAAGATAGAGGCCTATAAAATAATGAGTGGTGTGGAGAAAGTGAATAAGGAAGAGTTATTTACTTATTCACAAAATATAAGAACTAGGGGTCAACAAATGAAATTAATAGGCAGCAGATTTAAAACAAACAAAAGGAGGTTTTTCACTCAGCGCACAGTCAACCTGTGGAATGGCTTGCCAGAGGATGTGGTAAAGACTAGGACTTTAACAGGGTTCAAAAAGAGCTAGATAGATTCATGAAGGTTATGTCTATCAATGGCTATTAGTCAGGATGGGTAGGAATGTGACCCTAGCCTCTGTTTGGAGAGATCATGTGAGGATTACTACTTGTGTTCCCTATGTTATGTTCTTATGTTCTCCCTCTGGGGCATCTGGTATTGGCCACTATCGGCAGTCAGGATACTGGACTAGATGGACATTTTGTCTGACCCAGTATGGCTATCCTATCCTCCAAAGAAGTTGCAGTCCCTCCCAGCATGCCATCGTCTACAAATGTAATAAGCGTACTCTTTGCCATCCTCTAAAAAACTGTTGAAGAAGATACTGAACGGAACCTGTGCCAAAACAGACCCCTGCGAAACTCCACTTGTTATGCCTCAAAGATACTGAACGGAACCTGTGCTAAAACAGACCGCTGCGAAACTCCACTTGTTATGCCTTTCCAGCATGATTGTGAAACATTAATAACTACTCTCTGAAAACGATTATCCAGCCAGTTATCCACCCACCTTATAGTAGCCCCATCTAAGTTGTATTTCCCTAGTTTATTGATAAGGTCATATCTGCTGCTTCTCCCTTATCCACAAGGCTTGATATCCTATCAAAGAAAGCTATCATGTTGGTTTGACATGATTTGTTCTTTACAAATCCATGCTGGCTGTTACCTATCACCTTATCTTCCAGATAAATTCCTTAATTACTTGCTCCATTATCTTCCCTGGCACAGAAGTTAAACTGACTGGTCTGTAGTTTCCTGGGTTATTTCCCTTTTTATAGATGGACACTATACTTGCCCTTTTTCAGTCTTCTGGAATCTCTGGTCACTCTTATGTTCATTTCACCCAGTTCCGTACTTAGAGCAAACAACTATGCTTCCTTATTCTGAAATAATTTAACTTATTATTTAATAAGCAGTAGATAAGCATACCCATGTACTGGGTGAACTGAATATAACAAGACTGGTATGTTCAATTTAATTAGTATTTTGGTAGATTTTGCCTCCTTGTGGTTATACACGCAAAAGTATCAAACTACATGAAACTGAGCATATGCATTTGGAAGATATGATATCCTATCTTCTGTATTCTACATAATGCCATCCTGGAGGTAATAGTATTTTATTCTGTATATAATAGTATTCATAGTACTTGGTGAAAGTACAAAATAGTGTGGTAAAAAAAAAAATCAGTACTTTAAGTGATGATACTAACTTTTGGGTGGGAAGAGGAGAACACCAGAAAAGAGGCAATTAAGTCAAAGAGCACAGATTTCAAAAGAACATACTTGCCAATTGAAGCATGCTTGCTTGCTTGAGTTCTCACATCCCAATTTTGTATGCCATAGCCACAAACATCTTTGACAGAAGTTGTCAAACTGGTACTGTGATACTACACCAGTTGTTACTGTAGAACAGCGGTCTCCAACTTTTTTACACCCAAGATCACTTTTTAAATCTCAGAACAGGCGAAGATCTACTGCCGCTCCCCTTCCTTGAAGCCCCGCCCTCTCTATTCTCCTCCCGTCCATCACTTGCTATCCCCAACCCTTACTTACACACTCTGATAAACAGTTTATTTTTAAATTATGCGATACATACAATTAAAATCACATGTTTATAGGTATGAAATAAATGGTCTTTTTTTCATGCTATTTAAATCTAAAATGAAGCATTTATGATTATACATTTTGTGGGGACGGAGTACTGTGGCTGGGGGCAGGGGAGAGGGAACAGGGTGCTGGGAGGGCAGAGGACAGGATTCTACAGCAGGGGACAGAGTTCGGGGAGTGGGGACAGGAGTACGGACAGACTTCGGGGAGTGGGGACAGTTCTGTAGTTGGGAACAGAGTTTGGGGAGTGGGGACAGGAATGGGGACAGCATTCTGTAGTTGAGGACAGGGGAGTGGGATGCCAGTGGAGGCAGAGAGTCCCCTGCATCTCCCTCCTCCCAGCATTTCTCCCCCCCCTCATCCCCTTCCACAGCTCCAGGATTAAACTCACAAAGAAAAACAGCAGACAGATTCCCTTTTAATGC